CCTTTTTGAGTGATATATTTTTTTTAATGTGATATTATAAAATTTCTTCCTTTTTATTAGCAGACCTTTTATTTTATAACAAGGCATACAAATCCAAATATTCATTTAATGCATTTTGTGAAATGATTCATGTTTCCAGAAAAAGGGTGTGGGTATGGAAGTTTTAGTGACGAGAACTAAAATTCAAGCGCCCAGTTTCACGCTATACCCACACTTTCGCTCACACCGGGCATGATTAAGTGTTTGATCATTTTTTTTTAATTTCTTTATTTATTTTTTCTTTATAGTTTTTTTCGTGTAAGTGTTACTTTTCATTCTAAATTATCCTACATCACTAGAATTTTTCTTCATATTTTTTTAGTATTTTATTTTTGAATGAAGATCTTCAAAAATTAATTTGAATCAGTTCTTTTAGTTCATCGCTCTCGTTGATTTGGAAAAGTACGCCATCTCTCGTTCTATCAGACTTATAGATAAAAAAAATTAACCAGTAAATGTTTTTTTCTTTTCTGTTTGTCACACGACCAATGCGGTGAGTATCCTAATTATCAATTATATTTCTAGAAAATAAATGTCATGAATGAAGCAATAGACGATAATAAAATCGAATCTCAACCACCAATAATATATGTTGTTGAAGATTCTATTGCCGGTTTAAATAGTCGAAACACTTTAAATAGCTATGACTTTTTTAAATAGTTGTACCCCTTTTAAATAGCTGCATGTTTAATTAAAAAGTATCTCTTTTGAGATGCTACGGATATTACATAGGGCCGTCAAAAAGTAATAATAGTGACACTGTAGTTCCTTATAAAGAGCTTTAAGAAACTTTCTCTCAATATAGTCTTCAAGAGAAAAGAATGCTCTATTTGTCTATGCTATGTGATCATACTTCAACTAATATTATAATAGTAAAATTTCGATAAGATCTATTTTTCTACATTGGTTTTTTTTGTATAGGAACATATTTTTCATTAAAAGATTGAATGGTAATAGCTTCGTTTTTGTCTTTCTTAAATCAGTTCATTACTATGGCACTTTGAGGTACTTTGTTCTAAATAACAAAGTAGCAACGGATATTTTGCCAACTGAAACGAAGTACCTACATATACTTGGTTTCAGATTTCTATTAAAAACGCTGACTACGACACTTATTTTAGATAACAACAATTTACGACGATGGTTGCCGAAGCCTCCACATCTCAATCATCATCAGCAACAATCACAACAAGAAATGAAATACAAGTTATGATGTTTCCATCATTTGATTTTCATATGTTTGATGGTCAATTCAATTTTTTGATCAACCGTTTACAGATAAATGGTAGGTCTTTTTTTCTGTCAGTTCTCATACAAATATGGAAAAGGTCAACAATAGAAAATAAGAGTGACAGATAGTCGGACTCACAGGCAAGAATGAAGTAATTTCCGTGGTGTAGAATATAGACTTTCAGTCTAGAGAAAATAACACTCTATTTTTTCAATATTTCGAATTTTTAATTTTTCCATGTACAGTTATCGTCCATTACATTTGCACATCGAATTAGGGTGAAACATCTTTGACCTCCACAACACACTAGCGATGACATAACAATTTTTCGTATAGATCATTTACTTCATCAAAGAGTTTTTGAACAGGTGTGTTTTGAAAAAAAAAGATCTCGAAGATTGAGATTTTTTATGGATCTAAATTAGGGGTGAGAATTTATTGTTATTGTTATTAATAATAATAACTATTTTGTTATTGTTATTAATAATAATAACTATTTTGTTATTGTTATCAGTAACAATAACTTTTTTTTGTTATTGTTATTAATAACAATAACTTTTTTTGTTATTTGTTATAAATAACAGAAAAATAACAAATAACTTTTTTTTCTGGAAAAGATCCTGTCTCACTTCCCTGTATATATTAATTTTACCCATTAGGTGGGCGTATGCTTTGGAACGATTCCCTAACGTTTATAGTGCTGATTCATGTGATACAATCAACAGAAACTTCGCACTGAGTTTTCAAAAAAAAAGTTATTTGTTATTTACCTGCTATTTATAACAAATAACTTTCTGAAAAAAGTTATTGTTATTAATAACAATAGCAAAAAAAGTTATTATTATCGATAACAAATAACAAAAATAGTTATTGTTATTAATAACAATAACTTTTTTGTTATTATTATTGTTATT